AACCCCTCACCGGCTCTTACTGACCTGATTTGGCCACGGGAATCCCATCCAGCCCCAAACACTCACACACGTCTACATGCACAGATGCAGACATGCACACTCTCACATACACACACCTACACACCATACACACACCTACAAACGTGCTCACCTACACGCACCATCACACACAGATCCACACACCCGCACGGACACAAACTCATCCTTACAGACACACACATGGATACACACCCTCATGCACACTCATACCCACACCCACATGATCAAAACACACTCAAACACATCCTGTGCACACACAGACACTTATACAGACCCTCACACAATGCAAACACTGTCACACATAACGCACTCACACACTCATCTGCACCCACACCACTGCACACCTCATCCACGCTCCCACATGGACACACAGACATATGTCCTCACAGACACATACTCATGGGCACATACACTTATTTGGACACGCCCCACACAGAGTTACAAACAACTGTCAACAGTCACACACACCCTCACACACAGAGACACACAAACTCTTTCATTTACACACACACATTCACTCTAACCTCTAATCTGCTCACTCACACTGTCACACCCTTGAAACCGGCATCCGTCACCCGTCTCTCCCTGAGCCCAACACTGGACACATACATGGGAAAGCTGACTCTCATACATCCTGACTCGTAGCGATCGATATTACTCATAACTGTTCGAGCACAAATGTGTACCTATTCATTATGTTAATACCTCTCGTCGTCATGCCCAGTTACCCCTTGCTGTCTGGTCCACGGGGATGCAAGTGCCGTGGGGACCATGCCGGTGGTCTCTCCCGGCCCTGGCTGTGTTCCCCAGTGTCTTCTGAGCACCTCGCACAGAACAAGCATCCAGTCAACACGGGGAAATGCCGGGAGCTGAGCAACCTGGCCTCCCACTGACAACTCTCTGAGCTCCCAAGCTGTCACACTGAGGAGTTCAACATCTCTGGGCAGGGGCTGGGCTGTGCATCCTGACCCCTCCTCTCCCCCATTCGCCGGTGATAGCACGGCAGAGGAGTCTGGGAGGACTGTGGTCTGGGGGAGGGGAGGGGATCCAGAGGACATCGTGAGTGTCCCTGTGGTGCTGGGCACGCCTCAAACAGAGGTCCCTTTCCTCTGTTCTGCGGACGCCAGCACTTTGCGCTCGCGTGGACGAATCCCGGGCCTTCCACATATGCTGAGACAGCCTCAGGTCTGTGCCCAACACCCACAGAGCTCCAGGAAATGCTGAGCAGGAAGAAGGGCGCACGGGGAGGCCAGAGGCTGGGGGCGGGGGGCGAGGAGAGCTGGGGAAGTAGCCAGAACCTCGGATGACCCTCAGGAGCTGGGCCAGGGGGCGCACGTGTGAGCTGAGCCCTTTCAGCCCGTCTGTCAGAGCTGGCTCTGGGGAAGCTGGTGCTCAGCTCAGAGCCAGGCTGCCAGGCCCACAGACACGGCCTGGACCAGCTCCCAGCATAGCTCGCCTCAGACAGGCCCAAGACCAAGTATCACACAATGGGTGATGAGAAACGGGTGGCGCCTCTGAGGCTGAGGTTAAGAGACAGGGGGCTTCAATTTTGTAAGAGCCCTCACCCTCTTCCAGTGCAACTTTCCAGAGACAGGGCTTTTGTGTTTTTTTTTTAATCCTCACCCGAGGGCACTTTTTTGTTTTCGTTCAGATAGAATGGGAGGGAGAGGGAGGAAGAGAGAGAGAGAGAAACATCGACATGAAAGGGACACATCGAGTGGCTGCCACCTGCACGACCCAACCAGGGCCAGGGACAAACTGCAACCGAGGTATGTGCCCTTAGCGGGAACTGAACCCGGGTCTCTCTGGACCGAAGGCCGTCGCTCTAACTGCTGAGCCAAACCGGCCAGGGCGACAGAGCTTTTTAGTATCATTCTTTCCTGGCTCCGAGGGGCTGGGTGGCACCTGCAGAAGAGTGGGCTTCAGGTTTGCCAGACCTGGGTGGAGATTCCGACTTGCAAAAGCCACTATGCCCCGACCCCTGGGTCCCTCTGTACCAGCCCACCTCCTGGGGTCAAGGTGAAGGGGACAGGGACAATGTTTGCTCAGGCAGCACCTAACACACAGTGGAGACGTGATCATCACAAACCCCGGCGAAGCCCAGAGCCGTGGGGCATCCCTAGGAAATCATCTTCAGGGCCTTGGCCACTCAGTGAGCAAGTTAGGGCCCTGACCTCCGTCCTTTTCATGTCAAATCAGAAAGACGGCACATGTTCACGGAGCGCTCATGTCCTTGTTACCAGGACAGTGTCCCTGCCATCAGGGAGCTTCCTGGACAATGAGGTCTGCTCCAGGCACTGATGGTGTTGGGAGATGGACACCCCGAAAGTTAATACTTCCGCTCTATGTAAACCGAACAGCCTAATAACCACCTGATGACAAAGGAGGTGTGATGGCCGCAGTGTGTCTCAGGGTCAGACTGCTCTGTGGAGGCCACGCGTGCCGCAGGGAGAGCCTGCTGTGGGCTAGGGGGCCAGGAAAAGCTTTTTCCTGGAAACTGAAATTTACACGGTCCTTCAGACCTCTGCCGTCTGGGGGGCTACCATCTGGCCGTGAGCAGGTCATGAGAGACACCCTGCGTGGTGACAGACCCGCTGAACTGGAAAGGGACAATCCCTCACTAGGCTAGGTGAGGGCCCACGGCAGTGAGCGGGGTGAGAGCAGGGGTGTGGCTGAGTATAACCAGACACTTCTTGTGGCCTGAGCCGGTCCTTCATCAAAGAAGAGACTTCAATGTGGCCAGAACCCCACTCCTCTGGTCCCCACCCTCACTGGCACTCACTGGGATTGGCCAGAACCACCTGCCCTGTGCCCAGCTTTGGGCACTTTGTAAGTCAGAGTCGTGGGGAAGGGGGCAGAGGACATGGCTCTAGTGTGGCTGCAAGGTTTTCTGATGTCACAAACCCCCTGGCTTCTCCTTAGGGTGCTTGCCAGGTGAGGGTGAGGCTAATGGCTTGAGGGTGCGTAGCCGTCACAGCTATCCCCTCCTGCCACCACATCCAGGTTCAAGCTCCCTTGGAAACTCTGTACGCAGACCGCCAGGTCCCAGTCTCTGCTGGGACACACGCCAGGAGGGGCCTAGGACTCCTGCCCTGTCAAATGCACCAAATAAGTGTCCTAGCAGACATGGCTGATGGTGGCAGAAGTGAAGCTGTACAGCACAGCTGGGGCCCCACAGGCCTGACCGCTTGTCAGGGTGCCCGGAGGCCCAGGACAGGGAGCAACACAGGGACCCTTCCCCCAAACTTACCCACTCCGACCTTCCAGCCCTGGAGCCTCCCAGAGCCCGGCATGTCTCCAACCAGTCGCGGCCCTACCGTCAGGGAAGCACGACTCTGCTCCCTGTGCCTTGAGACCCGGAAAGCCTACGAGTTCAAAGGGCATAGGGAGCAGCCCACCTGGCCCCGAGACACAGGCCGAACTACACTACCCACAATTCCCCGGGCTCGCCAAAAAGGAAATGTCGTTTATGCAAGGATAAGCTCAGCTCTCCCAGCAGCTGCAGGGAGAGGGAGAGAGAGGGGTAGAGGATTACCAGGGAGGGCGGGCGGCGTGCAGGGAGCGAGGGTGGAGAGCAGGGCGGGCGGCGAGGAGGAGGCGGCGCTCGCCGCCGCCGCTGCCGCCTGCGGACCGTGCAACCCCGCGGGGCCGGGCAGCGGGCAGCGGTGCCTGCGTGCGCTGCACTCCGGCCGGCGGCTGCGGGCGGACGCGGGGCCAGGCCGGCGCAGGGGCTGAGTTTCTGCAAAGTTTGACCTGGTTGCCTTTCCGATGCCGCAGCAGAGCGAGGCAGCGCGCGGCGCGCCCGGCGGCTGCGGCGTGGCGGCGTGGCTGAGCGGCGGCTGCACGCTCACAATGATCATAAAATAAAGGAGGCGCACGGGGTGGGGGCGAGAGAGCCCCGAGCCTCAGCCCTCCGCCCCCGGCCACCCCCGAGCATCCCTGAGCTAGGGAGACGTGGGGGCCGGGGGCGCCCAAGCCGGCCCCAGACCCCAGTAGAGCCAAAGGACACTGCCTGGGGAAGAGGGTAGGGGCGCCCCGTGGACGTGCCCGCAGCGGGGTCAGGGGCGGCCGGAGGGCGGCGACCGGGGCTCGCGGATTGGCCCGAGGGGCAGGTGAGTCGCCGGCGCCGCCCGGGTGGGGGCGTGCGCGCCAAAGTTACCCCGCGGCGGCTAGTGCGCCCAGCGTGCGGGGATTCGGGGCCACTCGCGGCTGACCAGGGGCCATAGAGGCGCCCTATGCGGCTGGGCGAGGGCACTGCGCTCTCCGAGGGTCGGGGGATCCCGGTCCGGGAAGGGGCGCGCACCCGGCCAGACCGGCTTGCGAGGGTGGCACTGCGCCCCTAGGGGGCCGGAGGGACCCGGCCAGGGAAGGGGAGCCGGCGGAGAGGCGGTGGGCGCAGGGCCAGGGCCAGCAAGTCCACGCGGCCCACTGCGGTGCTAGCCTGTGGCCCTCCACCCCCACCCCGCACCCTGGCCGGGAAGGTGTCAGCGGAGATGTCACGGGCGGCGATTATTCGCTGGTGCGCGCGGTCGTGCGGCTGCCACTGACGGGGCGGGCGTGGGGGGGGCGCCTCCTCCGGGGAGACCGCCCAGAGCCGCGCTGTCAGCTCCGCAGCCCGCGCCCCTTGCACACGCGTCCCCGTCCCCCGCGCCCCCCGCGGCAAAGTTAGGCTCAACTTTGAGGCGGGCCTTGACGCCCTGTCCCTTCCACCTCCCCCAGGTCCTCGGCGGCCGCGGCGACCTAGGCGGCGACTCAGCGCAGCCCCGGAGCCCCGTACGGCGGGAGGCGACAGCGGCGAGGGGACGCGGCACGCCCGCGCGGGGGCGTCGGCCCGCGCCCGCCAGTGGGCGCCGATCGGGACCCGCGCTGCGCTGCGCTCCTCGGGGACCTCGGGCGGCCGGCATCCGGCGCTCGCCTCCAGGAAGCCGCGGGTCGGCGCTCGCCCTCGAGGGAGCCGGGACCTCCGCCGACTGGACAGAAACGGCCCTTCCATTGATTCGACCCCGTAGGGCCAGAGCCGGTGCGTGCGCCCCGAGCGCGTGCGGAAGGCAGGAGGGCAGGAAGTCGGTGTTCTGCAGCGAGGGTGGCGGCGCCGCGCCGGGGACCGAGCCTTCCTTATTTATGTGTCTGCCGGTTTTCGCCTTCGTCCCCGAGACTTCAGGGAGCGTCTGCGAGCTGCGTTCCCCGCCTGTGAGGCACAGAAGGGCTGGATGTCTGAACAACATGATTATCCATTAACATCCAAACTTCTCTTTTTTTAACCCAAAGAATATCGGTGATTTTTGTCCACTGCTAGCAGAGGAAGAGAGAACCCAGGGCCCTTGAAATGCAGCAAATTCCTTATTTATAAACAGGCCCGAGGTAGTGCTAGGTAAACGCCCCCTGCTCAGTGAATTTTCTATCCTATGGATACTGATCTTGAGATTTGAAGCCGGAGAGCAGTTGTCTGCACTGGGTTCCGCAGCCTCCATCCTTTCAATGCCCAGCTTTCTCTGGGACTGCTGGCCCTCCCTGGAGATCAGAGCGGTGCTGTGTGCCATGGGCTGCATCCAGAGCATCGGCGGCAAAGCCAGGGTCTTCCGGGAAGGTATCACGGTGATTGATGTGAAAGCCTCCATCGACCCTGTCCCCACCAGCATCGACGAGTCCTCCAGCGTGGTGCTCCGCTACCGGACACCCCATTTTCGTGCCTCGGCCCAGGTGGTCATGCCGCCCATCCCCAGGAGGGAGACCTGGATAGTTGGCTGGATCCAGGCGTGCAGCCACATGGAGTTCTACAACCAGTATGGGGAGCAGGGCATGTGAGTACTGCTCGTGAGCAAGCTCTGGGGGGCTGTTTGGGGCGGGGAGCTTGGAGCCTGGGGTGGGGGGTCAGGGCCGCGCCTGGGGCAGAGGGAAGCTTTAGGCATGTGCAAAGAGGTCCCTGAGTCCTCCTTGGCATGTGACCTCCTAAAGGGTTTGCTTGTTGATTCAGGTTGGGGTCATGGCTCTAGGACCTTCCTTCCCACTGTCCCTGAGGTCCCTATGACCTTCCGTGCAAGATGCCAAGAAAGCAGAGGCACCCTGGCTGGGTAGCTCAGTTGGTTAGAGCGTCATCCTGGTACACCAAGGTTGTGGGTTCGATCCCCGGTCAGGGCACATACAAGAAGCAACCAATGAATGCATAAAATAAGTGGGACGACACATTGATGTGTTTCTCTCTCTCTCGTCCTTCCTCTTTCTCTCTAAAATAAATAAATAACTAAAAGTTTAAAAAAGAAAGCAGAGGAATATTCCATCAGGTGCCTCTTTGGCAAAACAAGCTTGCTATGTGGACCAGAGAGCCGAGGCTTGGCGCCCCAGGCTCAGGCCCCGGCGAGCCCACGTGGAGGGCGCCGGGGAGTGACTGGGTGCTCCGAAGCCTCCTGAGTTGTTTGCATAGTGCTGCATGGCTGGGTGTGAACCTGTCGCGGGGTTTCAGATGCACCTCCGGTCTGGGGGAATTCTTGTTACCGGTGGTATTTTGTTTGAGAGGACAGCTAATTTTAGAAACCCGGTTTGCTTCGTGCTGTGGTGTTTTTCTCCCCAAGGCAGGAGGCTACTTAAGTAGACACCATCCGTGTTAGTGTCCAGGAGTGTCCGGGGGGAGCCCAGAGCTGAGAGGAGCCCACCGGCCTCTTCTCTCCAGCCTGGCCTCCAGAATGTTCCCAGGATGTCAGTCTCAGTGCAGGACCGTGGGACCCTGGGACCCTGGGACCCTGGGCCTTCCTTTCTGGCATGTTCCCTGATCCCAGGCTGGTCATCCTGAGTGTGGAGAGAACAGAGCTAGACGTCACTTGAAGGGCCACCCTTAGACGGGGCGGTTTAAATAGCTGTTTCCAGGGCACTGGGACCTTTCTGGCCGCGGACACTGTCCCATAGCCTCTCTCAGTGTCCACTGTACAACTTCCCGGGTCTGCGAATAAGGAACAGAGACTTCCCCCAGGAGTCAGTTTTTCAGTGGTTTAGGAGCATCCTGGGCCACCTGAAATTTGAGGGGGGTCAGGAGGGGATGGAGGTGGGGGGGTACCACCGGAGACTCTGAAGTTCTCAGGGAAACAGTAGGATCAAAGTAACACTTAAAACGAGGTGTAACCATGATCGCCCCAGAGGTGCGCGTGTCCGTCAACCTGATTTCCACACCCAAGCCCTTCAGTTCCCGAAAGGGCCCTTAGGCCAGGACGGGGGCTGACTTCCCATTCCGAAGGGGAAGCATGTTCTTTGATGTGAGTCCTCAGGCTTTGCAGGGCATCCGGACCACAGGCAAGGCACAAAGGTTTTGCTAGGGGCCCTAGGCTCAGTTCTGGGGTAGGGGAGGCAGGGGCCCTCCAGAACTTGGGGGGAGATGAGCACCAGGAGCAAGAAAGCCTCGGAGGATGGAAGGGACTGCGTTCTGCTGAGATGGGTGTGCGGTGGGAAGGGGACAGGCCTGGAGCCTCCCCCTCCCCCGAGCCTCCCCTTCCCGGAGCCTCCCCGTGCACAGCCTCCCCAGTCTTTCAGGGCCCTGCGCTCCATTCGGTGGCTACGTCCAGGCATCTTGCTGGAGGCAGGCCTGAGTTGGGAGACCCGAGATGACCTTTCTGTTTGGGTGCCAGTCCTTGGTTCCTGGTTGGGGAACCTACGGCACACCTCGACTGCAGTCAGGCAGGCCTGGGCGGGAGTCCAGGCTCTGCCACTATCCAGGGTGTGACCCGAGCCACTCTGACCCGTGGTTTCCTCCTCTGCAAAGTGGGGCATCCTCGTCCTGGCGCCACGGCTTAGGGAGAACGGCGGGAGATTTGTGCAGTCAGCTCTGCGCCAAGCCCGCGGCAAACACTCAGCGGCTTTCGCCGTTAATGTCATTACTGCGATGCTGTTCTCCGAGGGGCAGCGAGCGACCATATCTGCAACGAGGCGAGAATCCTGGCCGAAACTCTAGAAATCTGACTGACGTGGATGACTCTTGAATTGAATTTTCTGCCTGGCCCAGGCCTTCCTCTTTCTACCCAGGGCAAGTCCCTGACTTTATAAAAGGTTGAGATCGTGTAAGTCATGAACGATTGGATGGTTCAAGGGGCTGAAGGCCGGTTTCCTGGCTGTCTACTTGCTTCCCTTGGTCCCCTCCCCTTCCTGGGACACCCCTGTTGGCACAGGACCCTCTGTCCATGTCCCCTTCTCCTGGGTTCATAACCCCAGTTAGGAGGGGACCGGCCCCAGAGAAAGGGCAGAGCTTGCTGCTCCCTGGGAGTCACTGTCCTTCATGGGCTTGGGCCCTGGGGTCAGAGTGACCGAACAGGGCTGGCTCTGGGGCCTTGGACAGTCGCCCCTTGGAGCTTTGGCTTTGTCATCTGTCAGAAGTCCCCACAGGGAGGACTCAGTGGAGGAGCATGTGTGTAGGCGACGGCCCTGTGGCTGAAATGCCGAGTTGGAAGCTGCTCAGCATATTTTTATTTTTTGGTTAATCCTCACCTGAGGATCTTTTTCCATTGATTTTCTTTTTCTTCTTTTTTTTGAGAGAGAGTGGGAGGGCAGGAGGGAGAGAGAGAAACATCGATGTGCGGGAGGCACATGGATCGGCTGCCTCCTGCACAATCCGCCCAGGGCTGGGGATGAAACCTGCAACCCAGGTACGTGCCCTTGACCAGGAATCGAACCCGAGACCCTGCGGTCCGCGGGCCGATGCGCCAACCACTGAGCCAAACCGGCCAGGGCTCGACTTATTATTAGCCAACAGAATTGCATTAAGAATTACCGGACAGCATGGTTCCTCCGTCCGTGGGCCGAGCGGTCTCAGCTGGTGCCCCCTGCAAACAGATGGGCTGGGTTAGAAAAAGCCTGAATGTGAGGGAGTGTGATGTAGGAGACCCCTCCCACCCATCGTCCTTGCCCCAAACTACTCTCACATGTTTACTCCCCGTGACCTGAAAGTGGGGTGCGATGAGCTGGTGGGACTGACCCCTAGCTGCTTGGACCACTGGCGTTGTAGGATGAGGGGCAGCGTCCCTGGTCTCTACCCACTCGATGCCAGAAGTCCCCCTACCCCCTGTTGTGACCACCAAAAATGTCTCCAAACATTGCCGGCCTGGGAGGGGTGTGAAGCCCCCCCGGCTGCAAATTGCTTGACCAGACGCAGGTACTTTGAATCATCAAAACGAAACCCACGTGCTGGGCTCTAGTGGTCTGGGGCGGGTGCAGCCAGGTGGCAAAGGTTAGGGCTTCTGTTCTTCACAAATGGGCTTGTATTCAAAATATTAATTCCAAATACGGGACCGAAACCCGTAACACCCCCAGACGCTGCCCCTGCTGGAGGTGAATCTCTAAGCCGGGAGAACTTTTCTGGGTGACACTCTGGGTTGGAGGTATTTGAAGTGGGACAGTAATGCAACTCTCACAGACAGCTGTGCAATGGTGAGCTTCTCCACGCCAGCTCCAGAGGATCCTGTATGGTTTCGGGTCCAACCCACGTTGCTTTAAAAGCGCCCCCCAAAACTGTTGGAGACACCTGCCTCCACACCCCATCCTCCGCAGCTCCTCAGCCGCCACCTGTCAGCGGCACAGGCTTCTCAGTGACAAGACAGTTTCCTGCCTGTGTGGGAGGTGCTTCACCTTGTCCTTAGTTTGTCCTTCTGTGGAGCCCCGAAGGGAATCTGGCCCGTGGCCAAGGCTCAGGCTCGTTTCTGGCTCAGGGTTCTGCCAAAGGGCAGACATGGGGACGCGGGGAGGAGGGCAGCGGGGTGTGGATCCAGCTCCACCGTGCACGGTGCTGCAACCTTGGGCGTCTCTTAACCTCCCTGAGCCTCACTGTTCCCATCTATGAAGTGGGGAGAACAGTCCTTCCCTCATGCCCGTGATGGGGATTCAGTGCGGGGAGGCCTCTCGAGAGCCTCGCCCAGGGCCCAGGCCTCTGAAGGCTCGGTGGGTGGTAGCTGTCCATGTCGTAACTACTGCTATTGGCTATTAATTAGGCAACGCCTGGCAGTTAGCACAAACACTGCCGTGTTGTAGTGGTCACTGCTGCTGTCTCTTCCCCCGGGTGGGGTTCACGTACCCGTCCACAGTGTGAGTGCCTTGGGCGATGAGACTTCTGAGGGTCTTTCCAGCCAGAAGATGGAGGGACACTGGCCGCCTCAGGGTCACGCGGCTGGTGGGAGAGGGCTGGGCAGGGTTGCAGGGGCCTGGGCCTTGGGTGGGGGATGCCGGAGCTGGGCGGAGGGCACGGATGCCCAGCTCCCTCTCTGCTCTGTTGTTTCCCAAGGACCTCATCTGATGAGGAGGAAACAGCCCTGAGGCCTGAAGCCACCTGCCCAAGGAAGCTTGTCCGGCTCCAGCAGTTCTGGGGACAGGCCGGGAGGAAAGGCCCCAGTGACCACAGGGCCTCTTCCTGCGGCCCAGGCCTGGGCCACGCGCCCTGCGCAGAACAATTGAGGATGCTGCTTCCTCTCTTCAACCGGAAGGTGGCCTCCCCCATCTGCGGGGCCCTGGCAGAGGCGTGGGTGGGAGAGGGAAGTCCTGCTTCCAGGCTTTGGGGTGGGAGGAAGTGGCAGGGGACGGCCTGGCCCAAAGAAACTCCCCCTGGACCGGCTTGGCCAAGTGACCGCCCCGACCCTCGCCTTCCGCGGGCCCCAAACAAAAGCCGCCGTTCCTGGCGACGGCGAGAAGGCGCCGACAGCCGTCCTATCCAGGACGGACATGGAACGTGGAGATCCATTTTTTTGCCGATGGGATCTGGGCGAACTGAAAAGGATGGGGAGGAGGCTCTGTGGTGGCTCCCGCGAGGAGGAGGATCAGAGTGTGCATGCGTTAA